GGAGGCGGCGTGGGGGTCAAAAATTGGTGAAAAATTGCCTATTTGGTTTATGGAACAACGACAAAATTTATACCTCTCACTCGTACCTCGTTCTCGATCTCCCTCTCTTTCACTCCTTAATCTATCTGTGAGTGAAGAAAGAAAAATAATTAGCCAATAAGGAAATAAGACGCCCATTTCGTATTTTGGCTTGAAAGTAAAATTCCCCACTTTTCCTTCCCCTATCAAATTCTGTTCCTCTCTTTCTACCTGACACGGAAAATGGAGAAAACATGATACCCCCTTCTAAACCCAAAAAGTGGGCATTACTTTCTTAACTATTCGTCTCTTTTTCCTTCCTACACTAAACTAAAAGGAGAGACAATACCTCCCTCCCTCTCTTTCTCTCTCACTGTGAACAGAATATATAAGGAAAGACTAACTTAATATATATAGATATAATAATAATATTCGCCTCTCTTTCGCTCCTACTCTAAACTAAAAGGGCAGGCGATACTTCCCTCTCTTTCTCTCTATCAATCTTTCTCTCTCACTGCGGACGGAATGTACACGCTCTGGACAGACTGAATGAATTCGAAGATTATTATAGTTAATTTTTTTTACGTCAAATGAGGGCCTGCATACAATAACAACCGCTGCGCTTGGTTGTAGGGGATAGTACCAGTTAGGTAGCAGTGAACGGCCCAGAGGCTCTCACTGCTGTCTGGCTGGTATTATCCCCTACAACCAAGCGCAGCGGTTGTTATTGTATGCAGGCCCTCAAATATAAATCTTATAAAACAAGTTTAAAGCGTGGGGTGTCGGGACACCCCAGTTACTCCTTAGAGGGTGAGTAAATTAACGTACTCCTTCTAGGGTTAAAATTGTATTGAAAATAATTGAATTCCTCAGGAGAATTTTATTATTTATAAAAAATAATTTAATTTTTGCGATGAATTTTAAATATATTTATTTTTTTTAAATTACTTTGATTTGTTATTCTATTTATTTTATTGTTTTTCATGTTTATTTTTTATAATATATAAAATATATCACAAAATAAACAAAAATTATAAATCAAATCTAAATTAAATAATTTAAATAAAAAAACATCCATATAAAAATTACAATTCGAAACTTTTCGGCCCTGAATTTCATGGCACTCACACAGTCACAACTCTCACTGATATAATCCCTTCTACTTCTACCTGGCGAGTTTCCGCCGTAGCGAGGTTTGCCTGTATTACCTACAACAACAACAAAAAATTTTCAGTGCTTTTAATGTAAACTTGATAAAGGTAGTGGCTACTACCGAAACGTTGTTTAACAACAAGAACTAATAAACAAAAAAATTGTGGTAAAAAAATTGGCCTAAAAATTACTTAAATTAATATATTAACAAACCACAAAAAATACCCTGGCTAAAAAACCGGACAGATTTCGGACTAATCCGAAATTTGTCCGAAACAATACGGTTTATTGTCAACAATGCGGTTTGTATACAACTAGTGAATCCGGAATTAGTCCGAAACAGTCAAAAATTAGTCCGGACAATTTAGTGAATGTTAATAAAAATATAATTATACAAGTTACACATATTAATTATTATTACTTTATGGCACATTCAACTTATTTTTTGATTTACCTATCGCAATTTTATTTACATTAACTTCAAATTTCTAACGCTTGGGGATTCGAACCTACACCTATCTAACATTTTAACGCACCAAATTCGAATACACTAACCACTATACCACGCTCGCATGGGAGTTCAAATTCATAATAGAATTTATCAAGTGCCACGAAAAGAAATGACAAAAAACTAACACATCAGTGTTAAATTATAATATTAAAAAGATAACTAATAATACTAGTGTAAAATCAAATTGACTGCAAAAGTAAATATTTTATTTACCATAAGTAAATATCCTGAATAAAAAGTCGGACCGATTTCGGACTAATCCGGAATTTGTCCGCAACAGTACGGTTTATTGTGGAGTTTTTCACCCTGAATTCAGTTTAAAATCAATACCGTTTTTTATAACTATTGAATTCGTAATTAGTCCGGTTTAGTCCGAAATTAGTCAGATCATATGCAACTAGTAAATGCAGAAGTAATTTGATTGGTTTAACCAGAGAATCCACAGCTAATCCGAAACAGTCAGGCTTTTGTTTTTTGTTTTTTTATGGTCAGGTTTTTGTCGCTCGTAATTAGTCCGGATAAATCCAAACTCAATGCGGTTTGTGTATAACTAGTAAATCCGGAATTAGTCCAATCTAGTCTTTACATATTGATTTCGGATTATTCCGTATTTATTTTTTATGAGTTTTTTAACGGACATAATTTCGGATTGTTGCGTGATAATTACGGACTTAAATCAGAGACATTTAAGATTACACCAGACTGATTTATGATTCACAATTTCACTCGGATTGATGTAAGACTAATGCGGATCATTTTCGTACAATTATCGGACTAATCCGCACTAATATACCCGGATTTAATCCGGATTAGTCCGAAATTTTTAGCAGGGATATAATATGATTCGGGTGGCCGATTATAACCGGATTTTTAGCATACATATTTCGGATTATTTCGGAATATGATTTTACCACACTAATTCCGAATTCAAGAACTAATTTTGTATTTGTTTCGGATTATGCCTTTTAATTGGATTAAATCCGGATTGTTGCAGACAAATTTCGTATTCGTTGCAGACAGCTTTTGGATTGTTTCGTACTTGTTTCAGAATAGGATTTTGCCACACTTAATTTCAAATTGTTGCGGACTAATACCGGATTTCTAGCTTACAGCGTTCGGATTGCTCCGGACATTTTGCGGATTAAGTTTTTTTAACTAGATTAAATTCAGATTGTTGTGGACTGATTCCGTATTCTTTACATATTGATTTCGGATGATTCCCTACTTATTTTAGAAGAATTCTTCACCGGTCATACACGGAGAAAAATAAGTATTAATAATTATACTATTTTCGATAAAAAATTACTACTTTCAAGTAGTAATTTTGAAACTGCTTAAGAAATAGTAAATTTTGCTTCCTTTTTAAACGATTTTTACTTTTTTAAAAAAGTATAATTTACTTCAAGGAATCTAAATTTTATTAAAACCCGAGTAATATTTAAAATGCCCCGAGCAATTAATACTCTGAGCAAAGCAACTTTTATTACGAATCAGAGCAATTATTACTATTTCATTAAGATTTTTACTCGGAAAAGTAGTAATCCGTACCCACACAATGACGCACCTCACACCGACAGGTGAAACGAATGCCGGCACGGCATATACACTCTACATATGTATTATTATTCATTATTCATAAGCTTTACTTTTTTACTATATTCATACTTACAATTACAGATTCGAACCCTACCTAACTTATATCTAATGCAACCTAAAATCGCACGCATTTACGCACGGTGCTTTTTAAACCGATTTAACTGAAAGGTTCTGGCACCTGAAATTTTCTTCTTGATTTCGATTCTGGGTCAAAATTCGTGAAGTGGGCAACTAATTTTCAGTTGGTCGCTGATTACGCATCTGGTGTCAGATTTTAAAAATGCAAAATGTCGGATCCAATATGGCAGACAAATTTTTTAATTTTTTTGGATTATCACTTTACTTGGAATCTAGGGGTTTTCGGGGTCGCTGATTTCAAATTTGTAGTCAGAATTTCAAAATCTAATATGGCGGTCATTTTTTCGAAAATTGTTTTATTATGATTTAAAATGGGTAAAATGTACAGTTTTTATCTACAGTAGTTTAAAGTTACGGTACATCCGAAAAAACTCAAAAAATGTTGCTCAGGAGTTTTTTAAGTCCCTGATTACGAATCAGAATTTTAGAATTCAAAATGCAGGATCCAATATGACAAGCAAGTTCTTAAAAAATCTATCGAATTTACACGAAACCTGTTGCTCAGGGGTTTTAGTGATTTCATATAATGATTCTGAAGTCAGGATTTCAGAATTCCAAATTGCGAATCCAATATTGCAAACAAGTTTTTAAAAAATCTTTCGAATTCACACGAAGCCTGTTACTGTGTGTTTTTTTGGGGTTCTTAATGACTTGTTTGCAATATTGGTCCCTAATATCCGCAATTTGAAACCCCCAATTATCACGTTTCGTGTGAATTCGGGAAATTTTTCAAGAACTTGTTCGTCATATTGAATTTACCATTTTGAATTCTTAAATGCTGATTTCTGATTTGTAATCAGCGACTCCGAAAACCCCTAGATACCAAGAAAAGTAAAAATCCAAAAAATTTTAAAAACTTGTCAGCCATATTGGATCCAGCATTTTTCATTTTTAAAATCTGAATTAGTAACCATAAAAAATTACTTTTTTTAATATCTACAAGTTTTTTCTGATGATATTCTTTCTCAAATATATATTTCTTGAAGAAAAGCTGACTTTTCGTTGTTTTGAATTTTTAAATCAACTTTTCTTAAAAACGGCTCCACAGAAGATTTTCGTTTTTGTTGGAAAATGATGTACTTGTGATCTAGAATCGAAATCAGGAAGAAAATTCCAGGTGCCAGAACCTTTCAGTTAAATCGGTTTAAAAAGCACCGTGTTACACTAAGCCTCTCGGCTACGCAATGGCTATAGAAAAAAATTTCGGTTACTTGAATACATATATCCCTTTCCCACGTAGCACGTAGCATTACAGTAATATTACCCGGTAAAATTACTGTAATATTATGGTCATATTAAAATGTCCGCCTGATGGTAACAATACACATCAATATTATAGTAACATTACAGTAATATTATGCGGTAATATTTCTGTAACATTACTATTATATTACATACTTAAGATAAAATTGAAAAAAAGTTTATTTTCTAACGATAAAATAAAAAAAAATTTCTTTTTAATTCATTATCTAATGTATTATGACGATTGTTTTAAATAATAAATTCAATCTTGTACAAGTTAAATAAATTACATTCCCTTATTAGTCATAAATCAATTTGACAACCGAACGTGTTAGTCAGACGCCAGTCAATTTTCCTTGTAAAATTGACAAAAGTTAACTTTCCAAAATTTAAATAACATTATCAACAATAATCTCAAAAGGAGATTCCGTCAGGAAATATGGAATTAAAAAGGGAAAATTTAATCCTCCGAGACACGACTCTTAAATGATAATTTAATACACTTACTTTTAATTATCCAACGAAGAGTTTTTCTACCACAAGTCCTGAGAGATTGGTTTGATTGAATAAATATTCATTAATTCAATAATATCACTACTATTTATTAACTTTTCTACTAAATTTACATTAATATCACTTCTTATTTCCCCGGTCAATTCAATACATTCCTTTTCTTACACTCTCGACAAAAGTAGATATATGAATGCTCCTTTCCATACAATAATTCGTCTGCTCATCGACGCACTATATTAATCAAATCATAATGGGGAGTTTCCAAATTTTAGTTAAAAGAATCTCCCGCTTAAATTTAAAGAATATAAAGTATAGTAATAAAAAAAAATAATATCATTAATACAGTGACTAGACTCTACGTCACAATAATCCCCCCTTAGGCCAGAAATACTCTTCTAGTATTCTTGGACTAAATCAAATAATAAAAGAACATTTTTAAGAAAAATTATAATACTGTAAATTCGAATATTTCAACAAAAAAAAATAATTCAAAAAGAGTATCTCGTATTACAATCTTTTTCTCTCGTAGACTCATCAAGTTTTATAGTTACTATTATAACTTATATTTTAGTTTAAGAACAACAAAAAAAAATTTTAGATTGCTTGAAGAGTTGAGACAATATAGCAAAAAAAAATAATTTTAGAAAAATAAACAAAATTTTTATCAAATTAGAATTATATAAAATACTGAAAATGAATTATTTTCCTTGCTCCTGTTTCCTCTCTTCAATCAGCTGTTTCACCGCCATGTCGATTGTTTCTGCAGACATTCCTTTCATCGTGGTTGTCAACTCTTTGATAGCGGCGATCAGATCCTGACGTGGAGTAGCATTATTTACTACTTCACAATAGGATGGTGGTGGGGCTGAACTTTCCATTTCCATTTGAATTTGTTTCTGACCTTTCCACAATAGGTCTTTTTTCTCAATTTCCTCCGCCTTGGTCAAGTATTTAGCTTCTGATGTTGCTGCTTTTGGAGCTATGGTCAGATTTGTGGATTCCTGGAAATTCCACGCCTTCTCAGTGATTCCATCGGTGTTAGTGTAATTCTGCTGTTTGTCATCTTGTCTCCAAATCGAGGGTAACATTGGATTCTCTTCTCTCCTCACTTTACTTGGCCTCTTTGACGTTCCAGCCTCCCCCTGTCGTTCCCACGAGCTGTCATAATCTTCGTCAGTGTTTAGGCTTGTCCTTGATCCAGAATGGATATTTCTTTTATTCCTCCTCATTAGATATTTCCGATATCCTGATGCACACCTTGGACACGTAGCTACGGTCTGATATTTCCTACCACAGTTCTCGCAATGTGCTTCAGTTATCGGTTTCGGACAGTGAGACTTATTATGGTCCTTTCGCCAACAGTTCATACAGGCTCTTGGAGGAGGATCTATGGTAGGGTCTGTAGGTATAGAAACTAGGTCATTAAAAAGCACCCCAGTCTTCTTCCGCGGCAATGCTTCCCTGGGAATTGAATATTCCTGTTTTTCGATGGCTTGTTCCTGCTCATGATTAAGTGAAATATCATTTCTATTCGGAGGTCCTGCTTCTTTAGGTAATACTGATTCTACCTTTTCCAATTTATCCTCCTCTCTGGGATTCACAAGGTCCTCTTTTTCTAATATTTTCTTCCTGATTTCGATTTCTCTCTCCTGTTCTTCCCTCAGTCTTTCCAGATTGGTGGAATTTTTCGGGTCCTGTAATTTACAGAATCTTTCCAATTCTAATACGGCAAGACGATCCTCGTATTGTTCCCAACTTTCACCTTCCCTTCGTCTATTATCGTCTTTAAAGACATTCTTCTTTGATGCTCCTTTATGTTTAACTAGATAATTTGTATTTTCCTTCAATGTTCTAGAAAGCATATTAGAATTATTTCCCAATGGCGTGTCTATGATTGGAAAATCCAGAAATGATGGTGGCAAAGATATGTCTCTTGGTAATTCGAATTCTGCTGTGGGACGGTGTTTCGAATTGTTTCCGGCTCGAGTAATTCCTTGTCTAGACATTTTCGTAATTCCTTGTCAATCTGTTGCTATTCAAGTCTTCTTTCCCTTGTCAATCAGCTGTTCCTCGTCAAACGTTATCCTAGTCGAATCTGAAATAGAACAAAATTAATTAGTAATTATTTAATCATTTTGTGGTGATATATAACGTTTAAGATCAGTGATATGGATTTTGGGATTTCTACGACTATTATCCGTATGTAATACGAAAACTGAAAGAGATAATTGTTTAATAATTTCAAATGGACCTTCAAATTTCGGAGCTAACTTTGTTTGCGAATTTTTGTGTTCCACTTGATAATTTATGAGACTTTCTAAGTACTAAATCACCAACCTTGAAGTCAATTTCGTGTCGATTTTTATTATAATACTTAGTCTGTCTATTTTTCTCCTTGTCAATGAATTTTGTTACTAAGTCACGTAATGCGTCAAGCCTTTTAACCCTGTCTATCCATACTTCAGGTGAAATTTTTCGTACTTTGTCTTTACTTTCAACCTCTCGTCTTAAACTTTTCACTGGTCGAGGATGTCGACCAAAATTTAAAAATGCTGGAGAGGTTTTCGTCGTGGCTTGGGTTGCAGTATTGATTGCATGTCGAAACTCATGGACATGTAAATCCCAGTCACGATGATCATTCCCTATAAATGTTGATATCATGGTCTTCAAGGTCCGATTACTTCTTTCTACCGGATTAGCTTGAGGGTAGTAGGGTGGTGTAGTAATATGTTTTACCCCATATTCCTCAAGTGTTTCTTTGAGAGTCTTGTTGTCGAATTCTTTCCCATTGTCAGTCAAGAGAAAATCTGGTGTTTCCCATCTAAATAGGATTAATTCTTCCAAAGCCTTCGTCACTGATTTTCCATCTGCGGATCTTAATGGTTTTAATTCAATCCATCTTGAAAATAGGTCTTGAAATACAACCAGATATTTACATTTACTTTTACTTGGTGGGAATTCCATTGTATCTGCAGCAACTACTGCCCATGGTCTTTCTACAATTCTTTGTCCCATCATACCTACAGGTCCTGCTTGAGATACTTTATGAAGTTGGCATTGTACACAGAGAGTCACAAATTTGTGTACGTCGTTCCAAATTCCTGGCCAATAGTATTCTCTTGCGACCCTGTCATATGTTTTCTCTACTCCTAAGTGTCCCATAGATGGGATAGAATGAGCATCTTCTAATACCCTTAGTCTATGTTCATCTGGTACCACCAGTTTCCATCCATCTTCATCACCAATGATAGGGAGGAGCAAAGGGTCACTGCGATGACGGTACAAAAGGTCATTTTCAATTCTCCAACCAGGAAATCTGTTTGGAAATTTTCTGATCATTTCCCGTCGTCTGATGTACCATTGATCCTCAATTGTCTCAAAAGCGTCAATCATTTCGTCATCTTCAGTCATTCTTGATAATGCATCTGGAACTTGGTTTAATGCACCCTTTCGGTGAATAATCTCAAAATCCCAGTTCTGCATCTCCAAAGCCCATCTTGCGAGTCTTCCAGTCGGATCCTTTAAATTCTTCAGCCACTTCAATGTTCAGTAATGGCCTTGAATTTATATCCTTCGATATAAGGTCTAAACTTTTTTATAGACCAAAGTAGTGCTAGGCACTCCTTTTCTGTCACAGAATAGTTCCTTTCAGCCCCGGTCAATACACGGCTGATATACATCACTGGATGTTCTCCATCATCAAATTCCTGAGTCAGAACGGCACCAAGGGCATAACTACTTGCATCACACTGGATTGTGAAAGGCAAATTGAAGTCGGGGCGAGCGAGTACTGGTGCTGTCGTCAATTTTGTTTTCAGAGTGTCGAAGGCTTCCTGTTGTTCGTCTCCCCATTCCCATAGTCGTCCTTTATGCAGCATCTTAAAAAGTGGCAGTCTGATCTCACTGTCATTTTTGATGAATCTTGAATACCATCCAACCATTCCTAGAAATCTCCTAAGTTGTTTGATATTCGTGGGTGGTGGATAGCTTCGTACTGCTTCTGTCTTCTCTGGATCTGGCCGTAATCCTTCCTCGTCTAATAAATATCCCAAATATCGGACTTGTGAACATCCAAATTCACACTTGTCAGGATTAACAGCCAAATTTGCTTTCCTCAGTTCCTCTAAAACAAATTCTAACCTTTTTATATGTTCATCAAAGTTGTCCGTCACGATGATGATATCGTCAAGATATCCGAACACATAAGGTTCCACTTCTGGTCCAAAAAGAGAGTCAATTAGTCTCTGAAAAGTACTCGAAGCATTTACTAGTCCAAAAGGCATTCGGCAGTATTGCCAAAGTCCTGATCCGGGGATAGCAAAAGCTGTATACTTTTTGCTTTCTTGGGATAATGGAATTTGGTGATAGGCTAGCGTCAAGTCAATTTTTGAGATATATCTGGCTTTTCTCAATTTGTCCAAAATAGAGTCAATGGTCGGCAATGGGTACATGTCCTTTATTTTGACCTTATTAACGTCTCTGAAGTCCAAACATTGTCGAAAATCACCATTCCCTCTAGGCGTCAAAACTGGAGCTGTCCTCCAATTGCTGCATGATGGCTCGATTACTTTTTTCTTATACAGTTCTGCTGTATTTTTCTGTGACCAAGTAATCATTATTGGCGACATACGTCTTTGTCTGTGTTGTACAGGGGTTTCGTCAGTTACCCCGATGTGATGTTCGGTCAAGTTGGTCATTGGTAGTTCTTCCGATGGTGGTAGTACTAATCTTCTCACCAGGTCTTGAATGATATCCTTTTGTTGGTCCGTCAACGCAGAGATACCAGCACATTCAGCATATATTTCTTCTTCACCCTCAATAACATCTTTGACACAGAATACATGCCAGTCACCATCAAATACTCTCCAGAGACCAGGTCCGAGTTGAACTTCCATATTCCAAGCTTTACAAAAGTCGTTGCCCAGAATGATGTCTTGTGTAACTGAACTGAGAACTTTAACGTCAAACTGTTTTGAATGTCCGTCAACTGTTATATTCAGTTTTAACAACCCTGCTGTCTCTGTCTTGCCACCAATCGCACTCCTTATTGAGGTATTGCATGGCTGTAGTCGGTTCCTATATGGCTCTGCTACTCTGTCGTTGATCACAGATATCATCGCTCCAGGGTCAAATAGTGCCTCATAAGAATTGTTGCCGATGTGCATTCGAAAGAAATATCGATTTTCCAGTCGGCTTCCGTCTACATCCTGGTCAATATCAAGGTATGGGTCAGTTGTGCCCTTCACAACCTCTCCCCTCCCTTGGAACATTGATACTGATCCTTTATCAGTATCATTCATCCCCTCAATTAAACTCCGCTTATAGAGTGGATTACTATCCCCACTCTTGGCCTCCTTATCCTTAAATGAAAAATTAAATGAGTTTTTCTCATTCTTACTCTTACCTTCATCCCATGTCCATAGTTTGAATGAGTTTTTCTCATTCAATTCTTCAGTTCCTATCCTATCCTCTTTCCATATGAGTGGTACCTCTCCACTTTTGTCGTCTACTAACTCGTCACCCATGTCCCAACTGCATGTTGCACCTTCATTAATAGGGAATGAATTTAAACCTTTAATTTCATCTAATTTATCCCTATTTTTCCCAATTACTGTAACTTTCTCTTTGTCAAAAGAAACAGTAATTATTGGATCTGAGGGGGGTTGGTGGGGGGTACAGGCAGTGACTGCGCCCCCCATGGGCCGTTTCCCAAAGCGTTTCTCACATTAATACAATTTGGGCAAGTCAAGAAATTTACCCCCGGAGTTTTGCAAACTAGACAAATTTCTGTCTGCTTTACTCTGCTAGGGCAATGTGTTGCAATATGCCCAGGTTGTTGGCACACATAACATATTTTTAAAGGACATTCTGATACCCTATGTCCTACTGACTGACAAGAGAAGCATGCACCATAAAAAGGGGTTGGTGCACTTGCATTATTTGCCGGACCAGTTTGACCTGCAACAGGATTAACAGTGTTGTTATGTTGCTGCTTCTTCTTCCATTTCCCTGCCATCATAGCCGCGTACAACATGGCTGGATTTGGAGTTGATGTTGGTGTCACATTGGTGGTGGGGGTCGTCTGGTTGAGAGCGTCAACTTTTTCGTCAGTTTTCTCAACTTTCTTCTCCCCTTTTGTCTTCTTGTCCTTTTTCTTCTTTTCGTTCTTCTTCTTACTTTTCTTCTCTACTTCACTTGTTTCGACAACTCCCTCGTCTTCTATAGCTGCAACTTTCTTTTCATTTTTGTTGGTCCCATGTGTCTTGTCGTCCTTCTTGGTACCATGGAATGCAGCGGCTGGAAAACGCATTTTGTCTTTCGATGGTGGGGGAACATATCTGTCGTCCAAGTCTTTAACTTTTTCATATTGTCGTAAATTTTTCTCTAGTTTAGTCAGTGATTCTAAACTCGATGAGTCAACTTGTCTACGATAGGTGGGCATAAGGCCTTTATAAGCAATTTTAACTTGTTGCTTGACTGATAATGGTCTTTTTAAGTGTCCCATTATTAGTCTTAAACTTGTCAGATATGAAGAAATCTTTTCTCCTTTTGCCTGTGTCCTAGCCCTAAGTTCGTCAATTACCTCATCGTCGTCAACTGTTGTTAAAAATTCACGTCGAAAAGCTCTCTTGAACATCTTCCATGTGTCTATTTCTCGTCTGATAGTCCTATACCAACGACTTGCTTGACCTTTTAAAATACTGGGAATTGAATGTACTAAGTCGTCGTCGTCAATTACCATACAATCTTTGCAATCTTCTAGTCTGTTAAGGAAATCTTCAGGGTCAGCATTGTCATCTCCCGAAAATTTAACATCCCAATTAATCAATGTTTTAATTGTTTTTGACCTATTAATTGCTATGCTTTTGTCTGATTTTAATGACGATTCACTAGAAATATCTGAATCAGAGTCGCTTGATGAATCGGTAAATAATGTCCTTCGTACATTCTTTTCTTTATATTTTTTATTAGTTTGTCGTTTGTACTTGTCTTTGTTTTGAGAAATCTTTTTCTCCCTAGTCGAAAATTTGTCGGATTTGTCAGAGTCATTTTCACTATCACTGTCGTTATTTGATATTCCCTCCTTGGACAGAA